AATTCTTCTTTTTAACTCAATTATGTTATTTTTCATCCCTCTGATCACTGCTATTTATCATAAGTTTCTCTCACATCTTTACTTTCCTGAGATGTATTTCTGTACTATTATCAAATAGTTCTGAGTGTTATGTTTTAGTACTTTAAACTGGATTTCATTATGGTATCTTTAATAATAAAATTCTCATATTTCATCTCTCTGGAATAAAATAGATTCTCTTGACTATTAAATACATAATCTTTACATAACATACATTATACATATTATAATTAGAAATACAATTTAAATCAGTATAACATAGTTTATCTGTTCTTAAACAATAATTATTAATAAATGAATTACAATATGAATAAGAACTTCCTTTTTTACATCCATTGAGTAATTGATTAAATTTATCTATATTATCTATATAATATCCTTCTTTACATGATTTACAAAGTCCATAACTATTGGCAGAAGTATATTTATCATCATAATACATTGTTTATTATTTGGATTTAAATAATACTGTTTAGAACTATCACATTTAGTACAAATATTTCCATTTCTAAATTGACAGTTAGCTGGGAATGTTTGATACATTGATTATTTGATGTTAACTTATATTCTTCTTTATAACGATTGCATTGTGTTGAATCTTCTTTATAAACTAACTTTTCACATTTACCTTTTCTAATATCATCAAATGTTATTTCTTTTATTCCTTTGATTGTTATTTGACTTTGATATATTTTACTTCCTGTGAATGATGGTTTACTTATACTAGATAAATGTTTTGATGTAGTTATTATTACAGATGAAAGTGTGTTAGTAGTTTCTTCTTTAATTGATGTTGTTCTTGAATCTGATGTTCCAATTGATAGTTTTCATTGAATTCTTTGATATTGTTGTTTCTTTCAGATGATATTGAAAGTTATTTGATTTGTTGATTCATATCTTATCCACTGTTTTTGATAAGTAAAGATAGTATGATCAATTGTTACATAGTTAATAATAATGATATAAATGTTTATTGATAATGAATAAACATAATCAGAGGATAAAGACACAGTAACAGTTACAACAAATGAATTAAAATCATCTTTATCAATTGGTGTAAATGTTTTAGAACATGTTGATGTTATATCATTTATTTCAATATCATTATAACTATAATAACGAACAATTCCTTTACATGTTTGAATGAAATAGTTAAATGATGATAAAGGATTAATAGTTCTTTCATATGATGATATCAAATAATGTATACGATTATATAATAATTAGAAGATACTTTCATTTTAGTAGAATAATCAGAATAATAAGTAGGATGAATAGGTAAATGATAATTGTAATCATTATTATCATTTCCTTTTATCTATATATTGTTTATACTTTCTTCTTTATATTCATTTTCTATTTTGATGTATTTTATTATTTGAATATTCATATTTATCATCTTTTATATTATTATCATTTATATCTACTTCGATTTATATTCATTCTGTTTTTATTTATATTAAATTTATCTTTTATCTTTTGATTTTATTATTATATCATTTATTATCTTTTTATTTCTATATCATTTATTCATTTGTTTGGTTTCTATCTATATCATATATTTATATCATTTATTATTTATATTTTATCAGATATTAAATATTATATAATAATCATATAACATATATGATTGAATATATAATAAACATCATAATGAAATTATTCACATAAATAATAAACATAAAAAAGAATAAAATATTTTTCAACAATAAAACAATACCAATTATTTTACATCATTAAATTATACACTTTTATTTCATATTTCACATTTTCAATAAAAATACACAATTTATTTTCTTCTTTATTTTCTTCTTTTATCATCTCTTTTGTTTTATTACTTTTTATCTTCTTTTTATCTTTTCTACTTTCTATTTTTATTCTTTATTCTTCTTCATCTTTCTTTTTATTCTTTTATATCTTTCTCTTCCTTTTTTCTATTATTTCATTTTTTAGTTCCACTTTAGTTTAATAAAATTATTACATTTCTTAATTACATCTTTATTAAATAAAAACTCATTTATCTTTCAACTATTTTTATTTCTTTATGAATTTTTTTCAAAATACTATAATAATTTAATAAATTGGTCTTTTCACCACACTTGAATTTTATACTTTTCTAATTTTTTTGTTTATTTCTTTTTAGTCTAAATATACCAATTAACACTGTCAAATCGAATAAACATAAACTAAAATAAAGTGTAGTAAATAACCAAATCATAACAATTAAATTTAATGTTGATACTAACACTCCTAATATTTTAACAATAGTAATGATAAGTTAATAAATTGTTTATGTATTATTGTCAATAAATCAATATAACCATCGACATTGTATCATGTATTTATCTTAGCATTATTTGATATATATCTATTGGTATTTGTTAGTTGTATATTATTTTTAAATTAACTCA